TGGGTCGACCCTCCATCTGATCTCTGAATCATCTTCACAGCACTCCTGGCATTGGTCATTCTGACAGTGTTTGAAGACTTCTAACGCTGGAGAACCCATCCTCCTGCGGAGGCAGCAGCCCCTTCCATTTTCAGGCAGCTTCCTGTCATGTTTGAGAGAAGGCTGTCCCCCTGGAACTGCCCTTCACGCCTCTTAGTTCCCTAATCTACACAACAAGGCTACGCCCTCGTGCTCAGCCCTCTCCCTCCTCCCTGCCAAGCCTTGCTTCACTAGGCACACTGCTTCAGAAACAGGGTCACTCTTGCCCTTTCACTCTTGCCCGTGTCGACTCCTTTGTCAATGACCCCTCATCCTGTGGGACACCTGGGACTGCGCCCAGAGCTCAGACTCATTCTGACCCAACTAATTCTGACCAACCCATCCTTGATCAGGGTGCTGCACGTCTCTGGTTGCAGCCACAGGTTAAATGTGTCCGTCGGGCAGCCATATGAAATCCTCAACTAACACTGAGCTCTTTGCCAACAAGAGATGTGGTGAGTGGGGACAGCTTAGCCACTCTTCACCAGCTACTGGATCTTAGGGTGATGAGATCCCAAACAGACTGCACATAATTTCACTTCCACAAAAATGGTTTGTGGTGACAAATGCTTGACCTGACCTTGCACAGTGACTTTTCATTCCTCAACGTGCAAGGGCTGCTCTCTTTCCTTCTGCACATATAGAACAGGTTGGTTGGTTGCTTTTTAGAGTTTTGATCCAGCAACAGTTAATCAATGGATGTCTAAAGAGGCAAGTAGAAAGCCCGACTCCTGGCAGGCAGAATTGGCATGCAGCCTCACATCCATCAGCTCTTTCACAACATAACCCCAGGATCTTTCTGATCAATAGTTATGTTGATTACAAAGTTAAAAGTATCTCTGTTTTAACTCAAGGATGTCCAAAACAGGCTGGTAAGTGGGGATTGATAATATATTGCTATCCTGAACTATTCCTGGTTCTAATTTACTTATTTTCTTATTCTTTATAGTTTAATATAATTAATATTTTTGACATGATTCTTATAGAAACTATTTATTTTCTAATTTTACAAACAAAAAGTGAAGGGAAAATGTCAAATATAATTTGGAGAAAATGCTTTAAGGTATAATTTTTGGAAATCAGTGAACAGGCTTCCTTTCCCCTTTCTCTGACCTTCTGACTCAATGTGCATAGATGAAGAAGCCGTGAGCTATTTGCCCAATAAAGCCAGTCTTCTCACTTTACAAATAAGGAAAAAGAATGTACAGCGGGGTTAAAATGACTTGCTCAAGTTCACAGGGGTAATGGCACTTGCTAACCCATACCTCTCTCATTCCAAACCACTAACACAGAATATCTGTGTTGAAGGAATTCAGAGAGGCAAGAAATTGCTCTAGTGTGGGATCATTGGAGAAAGTAAAACTGAAAAGTCAGCGTTTTTAAATCAAATCTTACCTTTACTCCAAAATAATGCATGCTAGTAGAGGAAAATTTGGGAAATACTGAAATGTACAGAGAAAAGTGATGGGGCAAATCACTCCTGATCTCATCCCGCGAAAGCAGGGCTGGGGGTGCTTCCTCGGCGTATTATTTGTTATTTTCTATCATTTTGATCATATTACTTATCAAGAAACATTATAACCCCAGTTATGAAGGCCACTTTTGCCATACTTTCCTCCTAGTTTTTAATAATTAGTTAGAAGGGAAAGATTTAAATGGCAAAAGGAAAGATATCTGGAAGAGGACATATATTTACAGCAAATTTAAACACCAAATATAGATGTGTACTTGAGCTTTGAGGCTGTGGGTGATTTCTGTTCATTTTTCATATTTTTCAATGCTACAAAAACACTAATAAGAACAACTACTTTCTATGCCACAGATACATTTTCTCATTTAGCCCTCCTAACAACCAACCAAGACGACTGTTTCATATCTTCATTTTAGAGATAAGGTAAATTAGACTTAGCGAGGTAAAATCTTGCAGAAGGTCAGCGATGGAGCCAAAATTTGTTCGCAGGTTCATCCGAGGAGAAAGCTCCTCTCTAAACCATCATACTGCATATCCCAAGTTTCTTTTCATGAATTCCCACCATTGTTACAATAAGAAAGCAATTTTTAAAAATGAAAGTAGTTTGCAAACACTAGATCATTTCTGGTGTAAGCAGGTAACTTATTTCCTGTAGAAAATAAAAAACAACCTACCAAAACCCCAGAACAACTAAGAAAATTGGCAATATATTAAATCCCCTCAGTCCTGTCTAAAATGTTTAAAATTCAAATATGACTCAGGTTTCTCTGAAATTGATTAGAAATAGAAAAAAGAAGCAGTGTTAATTGCAGTTACGTGAATAAAGTCTGGATTTTGAGACGGGATGAAAATTGATTGTGCTAAAAGTAGTCTTCTGTAATTAAATGAAACTGCGCTGTGCACTTTAATTAGTCAGAACTTATTCTAAGTGGTAACAGTAAGTCCTGGTGTATCTCATTAAATGAGAGCCTGGCAGCGCCTCCCCCCCGCCCCCCCGCCCCCCCACCGCCAGCAGAGGTTCGTCTGTTTTCCACAGCAGTCTTGTTTAATGCATCCACTGCTCTAATTTGAAACTGCAGGAAAGGTGAGACGTCCTTTTGTAACCCAGATGTGCACATTATAAAATCCTTCTCACTCTTTCATTCAGAAGACTTGTAATAGCTTTACATTTTAGGGACTCTTACTGCCTTACAAAGTACTGGGAGTCATTGGCATTTCACATTACCCACCAGGGGGCTCGGCAAAGTCAGTAAACACTGTAAAATTCACTTGACAGGTTTGTCTTAGTGTCTATGAAGACAGCTTGAGCCTGCATCTTTGAAAAGCGAGTCAAGACGGGCAATGAGCCCCCAAACTTGTCTCCAAACTCCTCAGTATCTAAATGTTCAGGTTTCACGGTACTTAAAAAGGAAAGCTGATTTATTTTTTATTGTGGCTTTTCACCTTTATTATTATAAAATCCATGCAAAGTCAGAAAATACAGAAAAATGTATAGAAGCAAAAACAGGACCCATCATCCCTTCATGCAAAGAGATTACTCCTAACATGGTAGCATATTTCCTTCTAGTCTTTTGTCTGGCTGTTGTTTTGTGTATCTGAGATCATTCTGTTTGCACAGTTTGGCATTCTGCTAGAAAGACTCACTGAAAAAGAAATTTTGAATTGTATTCCTAATGTTAACTTGGATAAGTGGTGGCCTTCCTTGAGGGAACGCTGACAGGACCCATTTCAATGGCAGGAATGAGGACGCTGGATATAACACAGGAAAAGAACAGGACCTGATCTCTATTTACTTTATTATTTCTTTCTTTCTTTCATTTAATCTATTAATTATTTAATATGTATTTCTTTATTTATTTGTTTAAATTATTTATTTAATGTTTATTTAGCGCATTGGGTTTGCCTTTATTCCCTGAATATGTGTATGCAGAAGAAATAAGGTTATATTTATCACTCAAAGCCACTTTAAAGAAAAGTTCCGGCCACAGCACAGCCACCACCCCAGCATGAGGGTGCAGTGGAGGGTGAGTCTGGGGGAGGGGACCAAAAAGCGAAGGGCAACCTCAAGTCAAGTTGATGGTGTGTCACAAATCTCAGGACTGAGTATCACAGAAATGAGATTTGCAGGTAGAGTGTGGAGGTCAGTCCCAGACTCAGGTGTTCAGGAAATACCCATTTCTTTGTTTTCTTTAAACAAAATAAAGTGGTTTCCAAGGATCTCTCTTACCACACTGGCGAGGAAAACTTAGTCTCGGACACCTAGTCTGGAAAGCCGATGTGCTGCCAGAAACCAAGGACAGAGTCTGCGCCCTCTTATTTGTCATGCTGACTGCTGACAGCCAGCCAGGCCCCAGGTGGTCCCTTGAAATTCGATTTTCCTCTATTTCTCTGATGCGTGGAGATCAGAGTTGAAGTCAGCCTGGCTCCCCCAGGCATACCCTCTGTCAGGCCCTTGGGGGTCAGTCTAATTTGCCAGGGAAATAAATACCTGACAACCAAGCACCAGTCTCCCACTCATCTCAGAACATACCACCTTCTTCCTTCCCCGCTCCTGGAAAGCTTCCCTTCCTCTCTGAAGTTCTTTAAGATCCTTGCCCCTTTTTCCTCTCCCCAGGACACCTAAACCGCTCTTTTCGGGCTACGACAGAAGTCAACCTGGGACAGAGCTTGCAGAAAAATTCCGCTTCCACCCAGAACACAAACCTCCTCTAAAGAACAAATGGCTAGGTTTCCCTTTTGAAAGATACAAAAGAAAATTATAAAGAAAGAACGTAGTATTTTTTTTAAAAAAAAAAGTCATCCTGCCATAGAAAAGACCCTGAAGAGAACTCAGTCAAGTTCACAGCCAAAGCCAGGACCCTTCCTTCTTTAGCCCGAGGAGGCAGTTTGTCAAGAGGCGATGAGCTTGGCCTTGGAAGCAAGACTAAAGGCCAGACCCTGTGCGACCCTAGCTTTGTGACCACAACCCTCTAGGCTCAGTTTTCCGCCAGCACAGTGCTTGGCACACAGTAGGGTCGACTGATACGACTTTCCTTGTGCCTAGCCCAGCGCCTCCCCACGTCACCGCTCGGCCCATCTCAAAGCTGTTGTTCTAACTCCTCAGCTCCTAGGAGCAACCGCAGGGAAGCCCACCCTTCCTAAATTGTGTGTCTGGTACCCCCACTTGAAGTTGTTCAAGTAATAGATTTTTTAGCTGAATTCAGTACAGATGATCCAGGCCCTTCAGAGGCAGCTGGAGAAACTCACAATTAATCCAGTTCAACACTCTGACCACTGAGGACCCTCTGAAAGCTCTTCAGCCATGAGTATCATTGGATATGGCCGGTTTCAACATTTTATTCCCCCTTGGGACTCATTTTAGTCTATAAGGAAAACTGCCTTTATGGAAATAAATGAAATGATATATAGCATATTCTCTAATCCATCTTGCTTCATTTTTCCTGTCTCCTAGTCAGATACAGAGTTTTGGGATAAGATGCAAGCAGAATGGGAAGAAATGGCCCGGAGGAACTGGATATCCGAAAACCAAGAAGCCCAGAATCAAGTTACCGTCTCAGCTAGCGAGAAGGTGACCAATTCTCTTCTTATTCATGCTGACAGGTTTTCTCAACCTCATTGGATCATATAATTATAAATTAGTTGATAATTATTTTGGGAAAAATCCAAGAATCAAACAGATAATTGAACATCAATAGGACCTAGAAGAAATCATGCAATGTATGAAAGCAGCAAAGCCGGAATGGAATACCCTTATCTTTATTAATGTTAATAGGGGTGTTTGGCAGCCCGCCAGTGCTTGGATCCTGACTGCTGGCCAGTTACCTGAACTAACCGACCTTGAGGGTGGGTTGCAACAAGACCTGGGCTAATCCCACAATGCTTTTTGCCAGTCAGGTATGTGAACCGTGTCAATGAGCTAACAGAAGAGGTATCAATGTGCAGGGGAGTGAAGCAGGGCTTAGGGCTGTGTTGCACAGGTGGTCATTATACAGCTAGCGAAGAGACTCAGTGGAAAAGATAGGCTTCCCACAACCAGACCAAGTCCCAAGAGGATTCCTCAGAGCTATTTCCTTGACATGTGCCCCAGCAAAAGAGCGCGGCGAACGACCAGCCAAATAACCCATGAAGTCCCCGTTGCCCTTGGATTTACACTTTCAAAAACAGTTTGGGGAAGAGGGGGAAACCTTGAGAAATAAGTTTAAATGACTTGAAAGAGATGTAGAACTTTTGTACACTGGGAAGGGGTTATCATATACGGTTTATTCCTGTATTATGGTTTTTGTGGAGGAAGTCTCAATAATATTTAGTTCTGGATAATCTAATCTACATAGTTATCAAAATGCCTTTCTCTTCCCAGTATTCGGTGCCTCTCAGTAGGCCAGAACAACCATGTCCTTAGAAATAACTGTCTTTAAAGGAAAAAACAAAAACAAACACAGAACTAAGTAAGGACACGGACTCCGACCACCGGACTCCGAGCTACGTCCCTGCCCCTGGGGCTGGGCGGGGCCCTGCGCTGCTCGCCCCCACGTCCCAGCGCCGATGCACAGGCTCGGCGGCTTTTGATAAGGGCTTTTGTCTTTATGAAGGTCTCCATTCGATCTATTTTAAAACCTCAGTAGCATCCTCAACAGACTAGCTTAATTGTATCTATCACATTAGAAAGATTTTACGATAATCTATGCTAGCTAATGTTGCAAAAAATAAGATCTCTCAGGTATTACTCATGAGAGTTTAAAGTAGTACATACCTTCTCAAAAACAATTCAACTACACTTATCAAGGGCCTCAAAATAGTTCATAGCTTTTAGTCTAATAAATCCCTCCAGAAGTCTACCTTAAAGTAACAATCAATGCAGACAAAGATTTGAGCATGAGGCTTTTACTGTATCTTTATCTATGAAAAAAAAAATGAAAGTAATCTGAAAGTCCATCAATAGGGATCTGATTAAATAAATTTTAACATAATATAAATAATTATAATAACTAAAACTAAGTGGAACTTAGGCTGCAAAACTGCACATATAGTATGAGCTTATTTGTTTAATTTATATAGTCATAGAAAACTGCTAGAAGATTATTGGTACAATCTGCAATTGTTAAATTTTTACAATAAAAGAAGATCTATAACTTTAGAATACACATTCTATGTGGGCGATATAGCCTCCACTGGGGCAAACGCTGGTTTGAGGCGTGGGAAAGCAGACAATAGCTTAGATAGTGCAATGGTTTGCAGCCCCCTAACAGGCCGCAGCACGTAAGGAGATGTGCAGCACACAGCATCGTCACTGCAGGGGAGTGGGTGGCAGCACAAAGCTAAGATACGTGCAGAAGCCCAGTATTTTCAAAATCTTGGGGGGGCGGGGCAGACAGGGAATGGCTAAAACAAAATGAACAAAAGAAAAATCAGAAGGAAAACAAACTCCACAATATTAGCAGTGATCATATTTAGGGTGTCCTTTGTTTCTTTTTATATTATTCAATAACAAAATCTAAAATTTATACAATTAAAATATCCATTCATAATAAGGGGAAAACAGTAACTGCATTTTTTCCGATGCTGACACTATTACAGATGCCCCCATGCCCCTTCCTTTGCCCCCTCCGCCCAGTCCTCAGTCCCCCAGGAACGGAAATGTAAAGGGATAATTGTATGTTATGTATATAAAATAGAATTTCACCATGATAAAAACATTTATTAAAAATTTTAAAAGAAATTTAATTGCAATTAATATATTAATTTAAATAAATTAAGTTAATTTAATTACAATTCAGAAAGAACTTACTGAATGTAAGAATGACGAGATAAATGAGCGGGTCTGTGTTGGCCCTTCTCTGTTGTAGGGCTACTACTTCCACACCGAAAACCCATTCAAGGACTGGCCCGGTGCGTTTGAAGAAGGCTTGAAACGGCTGAAGGAAGGGGACCTCCCGGTCACCATCCTGTTCATGGAGGCGGCAATTCTTCAGGACCCTGGAGATGCGGAGGTGTCATTTCCCTTTCATCCTACGGGGCTCAGAATGTGGCTGCATGTGCTACTGAGGGACAGAGGGGACACAGAGCTCTACTGAGTGGGAGTTTCATCCAGTCATGGTTCTCAAAGGAGTTAACCTGGTTTAGAGTGATACGACCCGTTTCCTAACCAAATCTGCAGTAGCTATCTATGGTGCCCAAAAACAAAAGGCGGGGACAGGAAATGAAAAACCAAAATTGCCTACCTGGAAGCTCAGCAGCAGTTTGCAGGGGGCAGTGGGCGGTCTGGTCCCAGTCTAGAGCCACAGCGTATGTCACCATTGATTTATTCACTCTGCATCCACTGAACACACGTTACGACCCAGGACTTGTGCCACACACTGGCTTAGAACAATGAAGAGCTGGAAAATGGAACCAATGAAAGGACACGTTTAGTGGTCTGTCTGGAGGGACAAGTAAAGGAATCAGTGCAGTGTCATAAATGCATATGTACCAAAGGCTAGGAGAGCAGAGAGCAAGGCCACTGACTCAGCCTTCCACTACCAGAGAGTCCGAAGCTGAGTTTTCAAGGACAGAGGATTGATCAAAGACAGCAGAGGAGCTGAATTGTTGTTTTGAGGGAGTGGTTCCTGGCTGAGCAGAGAGACCTGAAACATTGGGTCTGGGGGAAGAGGGAAGTAGAGAACGGCAGGACTGGAGGCAAGAAGAGTTAGGCAAACGTTTGAACTTCATCCTGAAAGCCATAAGAGGAACCGCTAGGAAAGAGCCTGTTATAAAACCTATTTCTCTGAGGTGGGAAGGGTGTTTGGAAATGAGGCTGGGAGACCATGAAAGAGGCTTCTGCACCCCTGCCTTGGTCCGCTACACTTCCAAACCTGTGAAAGCCCGTCGTAAGATAGTGGTAGGTCTGAAGTCTTCTTCTGTAGTTTGTGATTTTCAGAAAGCAAAAGGGATATTTCCAAAGGAATTAGAGAATTTTAGGATGGAGTATGTATGGCGCTGAGAAGGCAGCATAGAATCACAGTTAAGCTTCTGGTCTGCCGTCCTGGGTGGGTTTGCTGCGCTGCTGGTTAGCTGCGAGCCGTGTGGTCTGGAACAAGTCATTTAAACTCCCTAAGCTTCCGTTTCCTCACATGTAAAGTGGAAAGCACAATTATAATAACTTTCTCATTGGGTTTTGTAAGGGTTAAATTAGTTCATACAAATAAAGTGCTCAGTCCAGTGTCTGGCACATCAGCATTTAGCCTTTATTACTGCTTTCGGTTAGTTTGTGTCAAAAGAACAAGTACACTGATCGCTAAAGCCCCTGGTATCTTGTTAGTCAAAATATTGACAGTGAAATGTGGTTGAACTGAGAGCTGAACCAAAGTATTAGAATTAAAAAAAAAAAAAAAAAACTTGAATCATTGTAAAAGAGAAAATCATTGCATTAATAGAAACATACAGGCCACCCCACCCCCTCACACACACAAATAACAATGCCATCTCACATTTCTAAATGCTGTTTTCACGTATGTTATATCATTTGACACAACAGCTCTGGGAGGTTTTTAAAAAGTATATGTTATTATCCCAGATTAATGAATGAGAAAATTCGGACACTTTGTTACAATGGATCCTACAGCGGGACCCAGGGCTTTGACTCTGTGTGGACCCCAATGCTAAGATGACAGACGACCTGTGGGCAATGAAAATGGCGTGATGCCCACAGCTCAGGAAGAGGCCCTCAGAGAAAGGCTGCTTCGTCGGTCTTTTCTTAAGAAGCATTCCATGAACAGAGAGTGAAATAAAAATAAAGGCGGCTGTGTGTACATTTGCAAGATTTAAAAGAATCACTGATATTCGGGGGAGGGGGGAATAATTAGTACTTTTATGAGTTTGTATGGTGTGTGTAATAATTACCCAAAAGGGAAAAAGCTGATTCAATTTTATAGCACGTTAAGGCGCTCTATGTGTTTTCATAGTTTGTTTCAAAATATCCATTGCACTGATTCTCAAAGGTGGGAGAGTTAAGCACTGCCCAAGCCTTTTAAATCCCTAAGACTCAGGTGCACCCCTACCCCTAGCAACTCTGAGGACAATGTGGATAATGAGAGGAGTTTTTGATGTGCATTGCTCTTGTAATGATGTGAGAATTATCGTTCTAATAAGTACGTAAGTAGGAATTTTTTTGTATTAAAAAATGTCATTCTAGATATAAAAAAACTATCTGCTTGAAGACATTCGTCACATATTTACAATAGCACGGGATTGGAAACAGCCTCAGAGCAATAAGGGAACTGGTTGAGTAAATAATGCAGTGCCCATTCAACAAAATTTAAAGTAAAAATTATAGGTAGGGAAATTTCGTGAAACCAGAAAAAAGTGCTTATGATGCAATATAAAGTGTAAGTGTAGGCTTTAAAATTATATATACTATTTTGCATTTCCTATTTTATGCATTTTAACAGCAATTATACAGGGTGGGGCAAAACTAGGTTTATAGTTGTTCATATGGAAAATAATACCAAAACAATAACACAAGAACAAACTCTGTAGGTCACATACTCAACATTGTAAACCTACTTTTGCCCCACCCGGTGTTAGGGCAGCGTACACATTTGTAAGGGGCTTCGTTTTGTTTTCCCTACTTCCTAAATTTCCTGTCACCTCTTTAATAACAGCTTGACTTTCACTTTTACAAGTTGATTCTGTTTTGTGCATCTTGAGATTTCTTATTGTAAAATTCAGACTATTTAGCTATGTTTCTGGGCTATTTTTTTACCTTTTTTCCTCACAAATGCATATTTTCATCTTACTGTTTTAAGATACCTAATATCTCAGAAACTCAGATGTTCCCATGGGTCACGGTAAAGAATAAACACCGGGAGTTTGTAAATAAAGATGGAGGATCTTGACCCAGATGTCACAAAAGAGTCTGAATGAAGAAATGAATGTAGTATTTTTTTTCCTTTTACAAGACTCTCACATCTGAGACAAGCTGCTCTGCATAGAGGGCTCTGTTGCAGGTAAACAAACCAACTACTGCACAGGAGTGATTCTGCTTCCTCTTGCAACGTTGACATCAGTTGTTTTTTGTAGGCATGGCAGTTCCTCGGGATAACCCAGGCAGAGAATGAAAATGAGCAAGCAGCTATTGTCGCCCTCCAGAGGTAGATGAAGCTAAGTGCAAAATCACGGGACTGGTGGACGCTTGTTAATGGACCGCCTCTTGTTTCCGATTTATCTTTTGACCTTTAAATATATTGCAAAGAATTTGGCCAGAATAAGTGCTGAGATGCTGCATATGACTTACACTTAGCTCTGAAAAACAAGAACTTATGAAGAAATAATGTTCCTAAATCACAGTATTTGGCCATTTACAAATCAATTGACCTTCGTCTGCACGGAAGAGTCTATGCTAAAAAGCAGTCATGAAATAGACTCATTCTATAAATAGTTCATTTTAAGTTCCTGTCTTTCTGAAGCATCTGAAAGTTTACGTCAGAAAAAAAAAAATACATACTCGAAATAATCTCAATGCAATTTTAGCTCCTGGTGTCTACAGAGCGCCTCCCAAGAGATTTTCAGCAAGCTGCAAGTATCGCCCCTGAGCCCCTGACTAAAGCTCTGGGCTCCATGGGGTGGCTGTAGCTTCACACCATATTTGATTGGAGCCCCTATGTAAACCCTGAGGGGGGAAAAAAAACAGCCCCTACCAAAGAGGCTTCCACTTTCTCTACTCCTCCTTATTTATAAAACTGCTTCCTAAAGCACGGATATAGCTACCACCTAAGATTTGATACTCCAAGTCTTACCCAGGGGCGACCAGCATCGTCATCACCTGGGAGCCTGTGAGACCTGCACTGCCTCGGGCCCACCCCAGGCCCTCGGTTGCAGGGTCTGCATTTACCAGACCCCAGAAGGTTACCATGCACATCAAAGTTTGAAAAGCCCTTGCTAGAGGCCAGCGGAATAGCAAGAGGGGGAGTGGCTGAAGCCTGGGCCTCCTGTAAACCCACATCAATAGTCCAGAAACACGGGATTCCCCTCTCCTTTATGAAACACTGTTTAATCTTTCATCTCCGGGGGCCCAAATTTAATTCAAGTCAGTTTGCTTAGCGGATAAGGTGTATGTAATACAGTGATAGCAGAGCAGCATTGAAATAATGATATCCCCTACTTCTCATTAGATTAACTACTAATAAATTATGTGCAGGGATTAGCCACATTTTCTATAGTTTTAAAATCATTTCTTAAAATTACCAAACCTAACACGCATCAGGATGTGTTTTAACTTTCTTAAAAATATGCTTAGGTGCCTAGATGGACCTGGAGAGCTTTATGCTGACTGAAATAAGCCAGTCAGAGAAAGACAAATAAATATGCTATCACTTATATGTGGAATCCAATGAACAAAACAAAATTGAAACAGCCTCATAGACGCGGAGAACAGACTGACAGCTGTCCGAGGGGAGGGAGGCTGGGGGGCCGGGTGAAAGAGGTGAAGGGATTAAATTTACACAACAGCATGGTGATCACCAGAGGGAAAGGGGGGTGGGGGAGGTAGGAGAGGGTACAGGTGGGATAAACGGTGATGGAAGGAGACTTGACTTGGGGTGGTGAACACACAAAACAATATACAGATACCGTGTTATAGAACTGTACAACTGAAACCTATATAATTTTATTAACCAACGTCACCCCAATAAATTCAATAAAAAAAGAAAAATATATATGCCTAGATCCCAGTTTTCATGTAGATAATAAATGTGATATTCTCCAGGAGCTTAACATAAACTTAGCAATGCTTCTGTGCCATTTAATTAATAAAAACCTAAAATTTTCTAAAGAACTGCTCAGACTCTGGCTTCGGAAAAAAAAACCAAACAAACTGAAATTGGCTTCCCCCCACCCCCCACCCCTTCTTTCAGGTGCTTAGAATTGCAGCCCAACAACTTGAAAGCTTTGATGGCTTTGGCTGTGAGTTACACTAACACCGGCCATCAGCAGGATGCCTGTGAAGCTCTGAAGAATTGGATTAAGCAAAATCCAAAGTACAAATACCTTGTGAAGAGCAAGAAGGGATCTCCAGGCCTCACACGGAGGATGTCTAAGTCTCCAGTTGATAGGTATCCTTCCCCTTTAAGTACAGCCTTATACACAATTAATCAGTATAACGGTAATGCACGGGCCTCAGGCCCCGCCAGCACCCGTTCCCAGGTGGCTGCCAGAAGAGCAGCACTGATTGAAAAGACTGAGCTGAGATCAGAGCCAACCTTTGGACACATGGTCCACGCCGTGGGCACTCACAGACATTTATCTGAGTACCATACTTTAAAGCCAAATGCTTTGGACATATAATCAACCCAAAATAAATTATAATAAGTAGCAATGTGCCAAGTTTTATAAAGCCTGAGAAATAGGTGTGAGGAAAAATGGAAGTCCTTTCTTCTGGAATGTTGTTTCTATCAGCGATTAATCATAATATGTTCCACTCTTTCTCACTGAGGCCTGGGGACCCTCAGCCCTTGGGTATTCTACACTGGCACTCAGAAAGTCACTGGAACTGTCCTTTTTGTATCTGTTATGACAAAATATTTCATAATGATCAGGAGGTATTTTTACCATGCAGTATTAATCGTCCTTTCATTACGCTAAGATATTTTAAGCAAGATTTTTTAATTCTGTAATGTTCTCTTGGAACAGAGAACATAATAGTTAAGTCATTTATGTTCATACTATTTGGATTACAAATCCAATTTTTCCCTGGTAGCTCTGTCCTGGAAGGAGTGAAGGAATTATATCTGGAAGCTGCCCACCAGAATGGAGATATGATCGACCCAGATCTACAGACAGGTCTGGGGGTCCTGTTCCACCTGAGCGGAGAATTTAACAGAGCAATTGATGCATTTAACGCTGCCTTAACTGTTCGGCCAGAGGTGAGTGCTCAACAAGAGACCAAAAAGTTATCTATTAAAAAAAGATTTTTTTTTCCCACAGGATGCACTTTGTTCATTTTTGCTACACTTTATTTCCCTGCATCCAATGGTTTAAAGGGATCAGTACTAACAATATGCTACTGTGGCTGTTAGTAGTTAAGTACCTAAAATAGAAACATGAATTGCCTGACAGCATCAAATGGTAGCTGATGAATGAGAGTCATTTCACAAAGTAGTCCACAAAGATTTTTGAGTCCTTCACCACGTCATAGTCTCCGTCTGCAAGCACTGGGTAAATTTTTAGCCATCGTGCTGCTTCTGCGGGGAATGTGAGAATATCCTGTCATTGTGGCTTGTGCTGGTTGCCAGACCACTCTCATTTCCTCATCAGGACTATTCATTATGGAACCGTCTGGGGGCGACCTTGGCCAATGGAGACCGCAGCGAGGAAGCCGTGGAGGCCTACACGCGAGCGCTGGAGATCCAGCCAGGCTTCATCCGATCCAGATACAATCTGGGCATAAGCTGCATCAACCTGGGCGCCTACAGGTGAAGTATGGCAGCAAGCTGGGAGCCAAGAGCGCCGCTCAGGGCTGAGATCGGATAACCTGGAAGGTTGTTTGCTGCTAAAAGCATCTCCTTTTTAGGAGGCATCGTCCTCCTCCTGTTAAGGTTAAGCTTCGAAACTTCAGATCCTAAGGCCCGTTGAGGCAGGAACAATTGGCTTTCCTGCGTCTCAGTCTCTACAGAGCAGCAATCATATGAGTATTTTAGGAAATGTAGATGCCCAGGCCCCTCCTCTAGAAATTGTGATTCAGTCGGGTCGTTGGGATAAGTGTCTGAGTCTTTTAACACCCCCTCCCCGAGAGCAGCTCTTTGAGAAACTGAAATAGTCCAAACCATTTCCCAGGGAACAAAAAGAAAACTTTGGGAGTGTGGGTGGGGCAGGAGAATGACTTAAGAAGAGTCCAGGGACAGTCTGTGGCAGAGCTCCACCAAGAATCCAGGTCCTCTAAACCTAATTTACCAGTAAAGAGAGTAATAAAAATTTCTAAGGGAAACATTTTTAAATGGTGGGTTTATGGTACATAAAGCCTCTCTCCTCTCACGATTCATCATTATCACTCAGCTCGATATCCTCTCGTGTCTTTACCCCATCTATAGGGACCACAAAGGTCCTTTGTTTCTTTTGTGTAATCAAAGTGTGGGTGATTTTTTTCCTTCTTTCTTTTTCTGTTTTTTTTTAATTTTGTAAGTAAACAGGAATTACTTGCATTACTAGAAACAAAAGAACTAAATGTTAGTTTTAAACGCCGCCAAAAAAAAAAAAAAGTGCAAACCCTTTCTCATTCTCAGAAAGAGCCAGGCTTTTGGAATTAGACAAACTTGGGTTCAAGTCATAGTTTTGCCATTTATTCGTTTATGACACTGAACACATAACTTGGAGCCTCAGTTTCTTCACCTGCTTAAAAAAAGGAGGGGTAAGCAATGCCTACCCGGAAGGGTTCTTGTGCAGCTTAAGTGTAATTGCCTGGCACAGAGCAGATGCCCAGTGCTGGCAGGAGGAGAGTGTGAGTGTTACTGCCATCAGCATCAGTACCATCATTTTTATTATTTGGAGACGTCATCAAAGAGCTACATAACTGGATTGCATTCTTTTGACATCTGAAGAACTGCTGTTTCTGAACTGCATTTGGACATTGCGCTGCTGGCAAATATTGAGGCCTTAGAAACGAGTTGCTTCACTTATAACAAAGTGATTTTAGACAGAACATTCATTAATCACTGGATTATACTCTGTTCTCCAAAAGGATCTTGCTCAGGTCAAAACCAGGAAAAGTGAGTGACCCCTGAGCAACTGGTTTATTTGTGAGCATCGTGGAACGGGCAGCACGCTGTGGTCCTCACTGGCATCAGCTGTGCAGAGGACCCGACAGGACCAGGCTCCAACGCCTGACAGTGTCCATTTTGTATGTTAACTCCATTCTTGGCTTCGTCTGCTTTCCCTAACCCAATTTTATCTTTACTCCTTTTATTCACTTATTTTCTAGGTATGTTTTATGAAACACCTGAGGTCTTGTTTTCTAACAAGGAGAGATGTGAATCAATACATCCATTTACATGCATATATATTGGCATATTGAACTCGATTAAAGGAGGCTTTAACAAAGCTTCTGGATGAGTTTTTTTTTAATTATAACTTCTTAGCACAGTTAACTACTTAACTCTTTAATTTCTTAACTTCTTGTTTTAGTGTAGAAAACATACTTGAGGGGCCAATGAAACACTTTCTTGGCATTCACGGATATAAGCCTCAGCAGGGCAACTATTTGCTGGAGGCCCTGAAGGTCTGTGACAGGTAGACTCAGGTAGCTCTGTGGTGGTGTGAACTTTCTGTCCTCAAGCAGGCAGTCTCCTGTACCAAAGCAAGTCAGTGTTAGGTTTGCTGGATGAAGCGCAAATGCACAATTCAATTCGAATTTCATATAAACAGTAAATATGTTTTTAGGGTAAGTATTTTCCAAGTATTGCATGGGGCATACTTATACTGAAAATCATTTGTTGTTTATATGAAATTCAAATTTAACTGTGCATCTTGTATTCCTTTTGACGAAATCTGTCCATCTGGATCAAATAGCAACTTTGGAACATCTCGGCTAAGCTCGGTGGGTCTTAAATTGTTGCACTGGATATGGGAAATCTTGTGCAGTGGTTAACATCATGCATTTTTTCCTGAAAAAAGAGACCACATGAGACCTAAACCTTAAATGAATTCTGAAAATAAATTTAACTTGAGGTGTAAACATATGTGTACGAAATAACAACCCTTAATAGAAATACAACTCAGAAGAGAGCCAGGAGCTGGTACAAATACTTCAGTACCCACCAGAGTCCGGGACCTCTCCCTCAAGAACTGTAGGTGTGAGTGTATGAGCTGTCTCGCTCACTGTATGTCATCTCACGCTTTCTCTAAAGAGTTAAAAGCAAGCCCTACCCTAGTACTGTATACAGTTGAGACAAGGAGAGGAAATTGTTGGTCTGAAACTTGGGTGTAGCTTAAAATGCTACCCGTTTGTCAGTCAGAGCTCCAGAGTAGAGCTTAGACCAATGAATCTTAACCATTTCAAAAGTGAGAGCCCCTTTTTAATGAAAAAAGAAATCTCATCCCCTTTGACAGTAATACAGAGCGGGGCAAAAGTAGGTGTACAGTTGTTTATGTGGACAATAATCGAATAATTCATCATTCGATAATTAATAAATAATACAAGAACGAACTCTGTTTCATGTAGTCACAACTGTAAACCTAGGGGTTCAAGCCTCGGTGCTCTGATAACAAGCTCTGCTGAACCCGGGCTGCTTTTCACATTTCTGTCGCTAATAGGAAGGGTTAGTTAGACCCCTTACTTTCTGAGTAAAGCCAGATGCTTCCTTTCAACCCTAGTTGTATAAACCACAACTGCAAATGGATTACATCTTCAGATCATTCCTGCAGTAGGGGAAGGGCGAATGCATTAAAGAGTTAGCAATGGTTTGGCCATTGTTCTTTTTCTCCCACACGACATTCCTAAAATAAAAGTTGCTTTGCTTTTTTCTTTCTGATTTCACTACACGTAACAATGACTTTTCATGTAAGAATCATGAGAATCAGAAAGTTGTTCATCTGATGATCCAAAACACCACAGAAAGGTGATTTAGGATCTAAGACTAAAACAACTTAATCCATTATTATTGTCTTGTTTGCTGATTCTGAAATCTGTAGTATCTTTAAGAGCCTGTTTTTCTCTCCTTTTAGAGAAGCAGTCAGCAATTTTCTCACTGCCCTCAGTCTACAGAGAAAGAGCCGGAACCAGCAGCAAGTGCCGCACCCGGCCATCTCCGGGAACATCTGGGCTGCCCTCAGAATCGCGCTTTCTCTGATGGACCAACCGGAACTCTTCCAGGCGGCTAACCTCGGTGACCTGGATGTCCTCCTGAGAGCCTTCAACCTGGATCCTTGAAGGAACAGAAAAATAATAATAATAATCCCTTGTCTGTATACATCACTGAGAAATGCAAACCTATTTTATTATTAATTCTAAAAAGGTGAAACCAGATGTTTGAAATGCCGTGGCGATAAAACCCAAGGGAATTCCTACAGACAACACCCAGTCTCTGTTCAGATCCAAAGCACAAAATGTTATATAGAGAGTCAAGGTCAGGCTTGAAAGAAGACTCAAGAGGCTCAAGACAAACCAAGATAAAGCAACTATGTGAATACCCTTTTCACAAGCTGCAAGCTTATCGCAAAACATCTTTGGGTTTTTGTCCCCACTTGTGGCTGATGACACATCTAAGGAACTTGCTGGTGGGACACCTGGAGAAAGCACTGCCTCGGATCAGGGAATTCTGACTATTTCTGAACTGTCCCCTGAAGTCCCCCCGTTTAGAAGACTGAACATAGTTTGGGCCAAGGCGCATGCACAAATATTAACTCAACTAAAGAGAGGCATTGCTTAAACCTATTCCAGTTTTAACTTCTACTGTAGCTTTTTGATTCCAGAGAAGGAGCTTTGCTGGCAAAAGCAGTTTTTGCACTAGAAATTTTTGCTGTTCCCAATCAAAACATTTTTGGGACTGTATATATGCACTTTAATAATATCTTATTTATGCCTTGCTGGAGTTCTGTTTTGTTGCTCCAATTTTTAACTTGGGGGTGAAAGGTTTGAGAACTCAGACTTGTTAGATCAATGGACCAAAATAAAAATTCCTGAAAATAGTTTTTTCACAGTGTAGGGTTTTGAAGAGTGTTTTTCTTAAAGCAGGTATGACATAGGGTACAAATATGCAAACACAGATCTTTTTCATGTGCTGTCTGGGACTGTATGAACTTAAACAAGAGATAAGATACCGTCTCTTCATGCACTGTCTGCAGGGCAAAAGTGTGAGGATATCATGATTTCTATTGAGTTAACATTAATTAACTTGCTTAAATATCATATTTTACTTGCTCACTAACTGCCCTGCACACTGATATTAAACTGTTAATATTTTAAATAGTATTTCTTAAGAGTGGTAAATACATTTTTCCTAAAAATTGTGTTTTCTTAGTTCTATAATAATCTACATTGCTCAACCTTTTGCATTCTAAGTGAGAAAGATCAGTATTTTCTGGCTGAATCTCACTGATTGCCAGAGGTTTACTAAGAAAGACGCATGCCCCTTTGGCTCTCATTCTGAACATTTATCAAGTAAATGTTCCTGTTGGCAGTGGTGTTTTATTTCATTGGTTACATTCCACTCAGTTCTTGAGAGTGTTTTGTGCTTGTCAGGGACTCAGTGATTATGTGGAAAGACATCATTTTTTAAAGGATTGGAAAAGTCGTTTGTAAAATACTAACCAAAATATAGTTTCCCAATGCCCAATTCTAGTAATTTGTCCCAGTGAGTTGCCTCATTCTTCTTCAGTTTGTCTACTTCCTTCCTCCAGAATCTTCCCCAAGGCAATCTGATACCAGCTTTCTCCATGTTCTTTGGTTAGTAATAGCTGGTTATACTTACGACTACAGTTACCAAGCAAAACAGCATTTGCATCAAGACAGTTCAGTTGATGGGGGAGTGGGCTTTTACCTGCCGGGTGTGGGGGGTGTACGCATATCCTGAACTGGAGATGCAGGTAGAAACTGTCTCCTCTGTTACATTCGAGGTCCTTGGCATAGGAAGCTTTCTCGAGTAAACATGAAACCACAAATCCTTGAGGCTTACATGTACGGTGTGTCCAACCTGCGACCTGCAGGCCACATGTGGCCCAACACGATATTGTAAATTTACTTAAAACCTTAGGAGGTTTTTTGTTTCCATTAGTGTTTGTGTATTTAATGTGTGGCTCAAGACAACTCTTCTTCCAGTGTGGCCCAAAGACGCCAAAAGTTTGGACACCCCTAAAAAAGTCGAGGGCACAGTGGTGGAAGCTCTGACAGATACTCACTGTCCAAGCTCCCCTGGGCCTGGCAATGCCTCCAGCTGGAGAGCAGGAGGCCAAGGTGGTAAGGCACCCAACGGGCAGCGGTGACAACCCAGTCACGGCCTGCTCCCCCAAAGCTCAACAACATTTTCAAGAATGGTATTCTTTGGAATTTTAGAATCCTAGGAAGTTGGCCTGGGAAGGACTCTTGGGGCCAGCCTCCAGCCTGGGGTAGCCACCTGTTTGAGGATCCCTGATGGAATAGTGTCCCTTCTTGGCACGTTCCTCCCCCATCCCTATCTCTGTGCATTCAGCTGGCCAGCTGACTTGCGTCCATCATCATCCATGACAGCCTCTAAACAAAGGGTTCAAAGCAACTTTTATAAATGCTCTGTTCATGATGCCATTCTGTACTTTCAACAGTAACGGAATTTGCAGTGATAATAATAGGCTTTTCTTAGCTTTGCAGCCACGGCATACGTGAGATCAGTAACAATTTAAAGCTTGACAGTGGGGTGGATGTGCAATACTTTGATTTAACTTGATTTTTGCCAACTGGTAGCAGATTTGGGGGCCCATTTTATTTTGCTCCTTGAATACAAAGCAACTTCGAAGTCTAAGGAGTTGTTTTAGGGGAGAGTAAATAACTTTCCATTCTCATCCTAATTTGGTAATTTGCAGAGCATCTGGTAGGACTTCCTCCCATATATCTAGTGTCCATCAGGACAAAGATTTTCATATCCTGCTTTCAGGAAGTGCAAAATTATTGCCCAAGACATTTTTCAAAAATATTTTTAATAAAATTAAGTTAAAAGTTACTAAAAAGCAAGTCAGAGCACCACCCAAAATTAAGTAGCAAGATTTTAGAAGTCTTTATTGCACACATCCTTTTTTTAAAGTGTATACACATTTTTTAAGGCAAAACTGTTTTTTGGTATCTTGTTGTCATAGCATAAAATTGTCATTTATACTACTCTTTTCATTTGAAAGAGTAGAATGACCTTGGTTCCCTCTGAGGCACTCTGGAAAGGCTTTTAATTTCTTTTTTCTTGTATTTACTGAGTAACAGCCCAAGATCTCTTCAAGGATGATACAATTTTATAAGAGTGAACACTCAGTTGCATAGATGTGACTTTCCAGGACTGATTTCCTCAGAGATTGGATGAAAATGCAGAGAAGTCCAGTGATCATTGCTGAATTTCAAAATATGTTATATCTATGTCTATTTGTCTGTGTTCCTAGACCTTAATGTGAGGAGGAGTTGGAGGAATGGGGAAGATGAGGGGAAGGAGTAAAGCGTCCATTTACTGGGCTAATCATAATGGCTCATCATTCCCTTTGCTCTCTCCCAGGGGCACTCCCCACGACTCCTTGAAAGAAAGGAGTCTTGTCCAAAAGAAACTTCCATAGAAAACTGTGAGCTGTGCCCTCTCAACCAACCTGAGTTTCAACTAAAACAGCAAATTAATGACATTTACCTGCATTGGAATGTCCAAGACACACTCACTTTCACAGTTTTATGCCATTTTTTTCATTCGTTTTCTTTTAAGAGAGCTATTGTATTAAATCGTGGGTCTATGTTTAGATATTCCTACTAGATAAATCTTTCTAATATATTCGTGCTACACAAGCAAGACTTAAACACAATTGTACTAGTCCCACTTATAACAGGAGCTCCCAAACTACCATAAAGTCTGTGAGCTCCTTGGGAACAGACAAAGCAGGATGGTCTTCTATGTCCCTTCTTCTTTTGTCCCTGAATCAGTTCCACAGAATTGGGCTGTACTTTCACTGAGCTGTTGCTGTTCTTTTCCACCCTGAAGTGCTTCTAAGAGCATTCTTGAAACAGGGTATCCTGAAGGCTTAATTCATATACCATCTTTCTGAGGCCTCCTATTTTAAAAATTATTATACATACACATATATAATTTTAACTTTGTAAAATAATTTCAACTTCATTCCCTCTCTGGATTTTACTACAGAGTTTCTCTGTCTTTTCAGTGTATATAGAACTGGTTGAACTATAAACTGTTTTGAACTAAGAAGTAGATACATATTTTTTTTTGAAGAGCGTTCAGAGATGAACTCTGGCATAAGGTTTGTAAAAAGGCAATTTTTAAAAAAATAAAACATTTAACCTCAGGTACAAAAATAATGCATGCATTAGTACTTACAAATCTGCCTACTTAAATATTAACCAAAGCATGCAATATAACTTTACTGAATGTAAATTTACCCAGAGCATGATTAAGTCTCATAGGTTAGCTTATTTTCCCTTGTTTCTAAACAAGGAAGCATTTTCATGACCATTGTGTTACGGTTTTTCTATTTGTTTTTAATATCCTGTCCTTGAGATTGTTTACAGGCCATCACACTGAACTGGACAGATATTCACATGTCTGTTTTGTGCAGAGCTGCAGCCAGTGCCAAACTAATCCTCTGAGGAATCCAGGTACTTGGACATCCAAACGCTTTTAACAACCAGTAGAGGCAAAACAGATCTAAAACTTAAGCAAAATCCATGTATCTGAAAGCTACTAAACACAATTGTGTTGATTGCTTCAGCTCAGCTTTGGGTTCTAAATGCTGAGTAGTGCATTTCAAATTTTTTTCTAAAAGTTTAGGAATGAATTAGAAATACTGACATTCTAAGAAAGGTAGGAGGTTAGAATAATGTCAGGCACATGAAAACCATTATAAGACAAGGGGAACATGGGGCCTTAATATCCACAAATGTCACGCAGCTAATGTGTGGATGTCACCCAATTGTCATCAATGCGGCCCTATTTGTATGGCAGGTGAGCTACTTAGATCCATGTCCCTTAAGAAGCTGGACTTGGTCAATATGTCTAAAAATATTGAAATTAAGGGGTGATGAGGTGATTTCATGGTCACTCAGACCAATTCTGAAGTCTTCTCACTGCCTTTTTTTTTTGTAGTCCTTCATGAAAAAGTAAGGACAAGGAAACCAGAAATGGAGGGAGCAAAGCTCAGTGAGGCAGTAGGGTTCTGACGTTAGACCAGCTCTGTCAGCATTTTACACAGCCCTCCGCGCCACACGCATGCACATGAGCTTGGAGACAGAATTCCCCATACAGCAAAGACCCTTGTAGAGACATCAAAGAGTTAAGAGGAAAAAAAAAAAGAAAATGAAGCATGAGGTTGAATAAACTCAAATGTAGTACCTTGAGTAAAGTTTCTGCTGGTTGCAGCCTTCGCAGAATTACCAAAATCTCACGCTCTAGAAACAAGCGTCCCAATCTCAGAACTGTTTTCTCAGGACCTGCTCTACAAGAGAAAGCTCACTTGCAATGCTGCGGAGTGTCGCAGCAAAGCCCTGACAGGCTCTGTGGGACACTTTTAGAAACCTGCACTCAAAATAATAAGATGGAAAAAAAGACAATTTGCTTAACAATAAAATGTGCTGTTTTTCTTTAAGTCTCTTGGAGAGGGACATGGCATGACACAAAACGGTATGGGGTAATAGACACACTCAGGTAGGTCATTAGGCATTTTCACTGAAATGCATAAAATGTTTGCACAGGGACCATAAAGGAATTGCACCATGTGAGCAATGTGTCATGACTGAAAAGGTTACCAGTAGTTAAAGGAAATATAGCAAACCTAAATTTTTACCAACTTCCTTTTAATTCTCCCCATATCGTCTAACCCAGACCCTCCTCAATTTTCATTGCCTAAATTTGTTTACATTGGTTGAAAAATAAAACCTGATTAATTTAATAAACTTTTTACAAACTATAACAAGCATTTATTAACTATTTAGAAGAGACATTTCTATATATTTTGTATATCTATGGATACAGTATATCTAGTCTAATCTAAAAATATTGTTTTGAGACATTCTTCTGTGATGCTTCCTTATTATGCTCAATAATGTTTAAAATCTTGGGATTTCATTTTTAAGCTAAAGTAGGTTACAAAGAGGAATTTAACTTTAAATGTTTACATTGAGTTTCTAAGTTAACACCCCAAATTAAGTGACCTATAACAAATTAATGGCAATGCAGTGGGGTGTAAGTTACTGGCGTACTACATGGTAATATGTCTGTGTATTTAGTGAAATATTATATATCATAGCACAACTCTGTTGGATATTAAGGCTTCTTCTTAGTAGTTCTCTGTGTTGCTCTTTGAAATAAAATTACTACTATAAAAATAATCTATTATATTGATGTGTTTAATTTACTCAATTGGCTTATAATTTACAAAGTACCAAGATTAAGGTAGTATTTTTGTATGATTATCGGAAGCATGCCTTCCTTTTTTCACATTATTAAACTGTATTTATATTTGTGCAATTTTAAACCATGTTTTCAAATAAACTTTGTCTGTGGCTTCGAGATCTTTTCAGAAATCTTTCAAAATGAGATTTGAGGATCACAATTGCTTCATCTCAAATAGAATCCAATTTGTACTACTGGTTAAAAGGTCCTTTTATTGAATATCATTACACATGATTTTGCATGAGTTAACTGGAAATCAGGAATGCATTTTTAGATAAAAAACAAAACTTTAAATTCTTCCTCCTTTGTTAACTTTTTAAGACTAAAATATTATTTAACCTATAATTGGATTTTGTGATTTTTTTTAAAGAATAAATGTATTAAAATATATTTCAGTTTTAGGGTCTTTTTTTTTCTTTTTTCTTTTTGGTCAGTCAATAAATATTTGAGCATCTACTATGTGCAAGTACAGTTCTAGTTCATGACAGAGGTTAATTAAATTAAACTTTCCCTTGAAGAGCTTTGATTTCTGTAAGAGATCAAATACATTAACAAAGAACAATGTCATGTGCTATGAAGTGCTAGAAGAACAAGGCAAATAAGGCATTATCTACCGGTGATCAGGAATGTTTCTCTTAGGTGACATTTGGGCTAAGATGTGAACGACAAGAAGCTGGCCAAGTGGGGCTGAGGGCAAGCATTCTTGGCAGAGCCAACAGCTAATGCCAAGATGCCAAGGCAGGAATGAGCTCAGCGTGTGTCCAGGGAGAAGGAGCTCAGGGCAGTGAAGGCTGTGAGCCGGTGAGCCCTCAGGAGAGGCCCCAGGGTGGGAGATCACAGGAGGCCTTCTTGGAGCCAGGACATCAAGGGCGACTTTGCCATGAGCAGAGGAGAGATGCCATTGAGTCAGAGATTCCCGTGTTTCCAAAACATTTACTAATTAAAAGTGCTTGATGGAGGAACAGCCCGGCTCGGATGCAGACTGATTATATCAGGAGACTGGAGCGCCCCTTCTCCCTCTTCACTGTCCCCGCTTTTGATCCGAGGCAGCACTTAACCTTGGTGGAATTCCATTTTCTCCTCTGTAAAATCAAGCTGGGCATCTTCCCTTCCTGTTTCACTGTTATTCTATATAAGGTAAAAAAATAGTGTGGCTCCTCTCCCAAGCCCTTGCATAATTCAAAACTTTTTTATGTCTCCTACTGCCACTGGGAAAAGACTATACTAGGCCAAGGAAACTTCTCTCAAAATCCAGAGTTGTATATTCAATTTCCTACTCGACATCAACTAGAGGTCTAATAGGCATTTCAAACTCAGCACAACCCACTCTGGACTCCTGACCACCTTTTCCACCATCCCCCAACTCCACCAAGCCTTCCCTATCTTAACTGATTGCAACTGCATTCTTCAGTTGCTCAGAATAAAAACTTTGGGGCCAGCCTCAGCTATTCGCATTCCCTCACACTCCACATCCTATCCGTCAGGAAATCCTACTGGCCTTACCTTCAAATGTAGCCACAATCTGACCAACCCTACTATATACCTCCTCCGCTTCGACCCCGTCTGTCTGAGCCACCTCCCTCTCTCACCTTGCTCACCACAGTAGCTCCTACTTCTATCCTTGCCCTTCTATCATCTAATCTAAACAGAGAACAAGCTTCCTGAAACTGTGGTCAGATCAGGCATTGCTCTGCTCAGGTTCTTGTAATGGCTCTCATTGAACCCAAAAGTAGAGCCTTCCAGTGGCCCCCTTCTGTCCTCCCCCTCCTATCTCCCCGTCATTTCCTTCTTTCAAACCCCTGGTGTCCGTACTGCTGTTCTGGCAAACCAGGTATGTTCCCACCCTGGAGCCTCTGCTCCAGCTGGTCCCTCTGACAAGCACATCCTTCCCCTCAACATCCGTTTGGATGACTCCTTCACGGTCTTCAAGTCTGAGTTCAGACCTCACCTCTCTGTCTTCCCTGAGCACCCTATTTAGGACCACGAGCTGAAGCTCCACCCCTGCTCTATGTGTTTTCTTTTCCATAGCACATAATATCTTTTAACATTATGTATAATGTACTTATTTTTGTTTAGTATTGGTCACTCCTTGCTAGGAAATAAACTCAACAAGAGCAGAGGTCCTTATCTACTTAGTTTACTGACACACCTAAGAAAAACAATGCCTAGCACATAGTAGATGTTTAGTATTTATTGAATGACAAACCACACTGTGCAGATTAACAAAATAAATTGGCTTAAAAGAGCTATCACCAAAAAAATACTTTTGAAAAAGTTATCAATGTTGGTACAATTTTCTTTTTTAAAAATGTTTTTAGACTGAAAGAAAAGGTCAGACCCTCCGTAGGATTGAAACACTGATGTATGTATATGGGTTAAAATGGTAATGTAAAACAGCAGGTAAAAATATCCTGTGTCCACTAGACTATCAGATGCTTTACATAACTCATCCCAAGTATTATCATACTCACTGCACAGATGAGAAGACTAAGTCCTACAATATGAAGTGCTTACCAAAGCACATAGCTAGTCTGTGTTGGGAACAGGATTTGAACTTGTCTATATGCGTCTACTCCTGCCGTTACACCGCTGTGCCTCTCTACATCACTGACTTTTCCTAGTTGATCTTTAGAAAATTCTTTGCATAAAGATGAGAATAACTCACCATTTTCCTATTAAATTTCACACTGAGTGAAGTTTGCCATGACTCCATTTGAAAAGCAGGACTGTAAATTCAAACAGAGCATATGCACTGGGCATGACAGAATACAGCAAATGTGTGCAACAGTTCTGAGTCATAAATAATCCCTCACAATCTCGGTCATTTCTTTCTCCTCTTATCCCACTCACCAAAACATATGGCACAATATTATTCATGGCCCTTTTACTTGGATTTTAAAAATACATAGGTTCAGCCCTAGTCAGTGTTTCTCAGTTGGTTGGAGCAACATTCTATGGACAGAAGGCTTGTGGGTTCAATCCCTGGTCAGGGCACATACCTAGGTTGTGGGTTCCATCCCCCCTCCCTGTCAGGGTGCGTATGGAAGGCAACCAATCAATGTTTCTCATGCAAATGATTCTTTCTCTGTCTCTCTCTCCCCTTACCCCTCTCTCTCTAAAAGCAATGAAAAAGTGTCCTGGGGTGAGGATCAAAATACATATACATTCTTCTTAAAATTGCGAGCATTAAATGAATATATTTTAAATAGCAATTATCATACTCTATATGGTAGGCAAAATAATACCCCCCAAATGTGTCCACCTCCTAATCCCTAAAACCTGTGAATGTGTTATCTTACATGCAAAAGGAATATTGCTGGTGATTTAGGCTCCTGAGACGAGATTATTCTGGACTCTCTGGGTGGGCCCAATGTAATCATAAGCATCCTTGTAACTGGGAGGCAAGAGAGCCAATCAGTGGAGATGTGACAATAGATACAGACACTGAACTAATGGCAATGCTGTCAGGAAGCCATAAGCCAAGGAACGCAGGCAGCTTCTAGAAGCTGAAGAAGGCAAGGAACGGGCAGCTTCTCTGCAGACACCTGATCTTAGCCCTGTAAAATCCATTTTCAGGCTTCTGACCCAACAAATGCATTGTTAAGTCACTAACTTGGCGGGAATTTGCTGCAGCTGCCATACGAAACTTATTCAGCCTAGAAACACGCTGCCATAGAAATGCTGAAATCTCTTGATGCAATTTCTGTCTATCCTGATGGTTCCTGCGTTAAAGTAGTCACCAGCAAACTGAGAGGGAACCACAGGAAGGTCTCGATTGACTCCAGTATTCCACTTGACATCCAGCAGAGAAAGTCTAGGATACCAGACTCCTCCCTGCCTTGGCTCCCCGTTCTTCACAGGGGTCATTTGCCATCGCTGATGTTCCGCTGTTGATGCGCCACGGCAGCCCTGGTGCCCACACAAAGAAACCCTAAAAGGAAATAAAATTAGCCACTGTCTCAAGTTACCTGTTCCACTGATGGATGAGAGCCTACAAAGAGAATTAGTTTACTTGGCATTTTGCAAAAGAAAAAAAAAAAATAGTCATAAAGGGACCTCAGATTGTGAGAATAGCTTTTAATTTTAAAACAATTGAAGCAATAAATCATCCATCTCTCTTCCCATCCCAGGTAAATACTCTCCCAAAACATTTGAGATATTTTAAACACCAACTGTGACTAGTGCAAAATCAAATAAATACAAACACTTTCAGGAGCCAACATCGAAACCTGCTGGGCAGGTGGGCACAGGCGACAAGGCGACAAGCTCAGCCTCTGCCAACGCTGAGAGGAGCGGCACGTCCGGAGCGGCAAGGTTTACAGTTATCTCAACACACCCAGCTCTGAACAGACCGAACAACACTCAGGGAGGGGAAACCACAAGAGAATGTTGCCTCAAGGGAAACAAATGTGTCCAGCACCCTCCTGTGGCTGACATCCTTGGCACCGGAAGTTGCTTGATAAGTAAGTCCCAAGTTAGCAGCTTCTAAGCAAAGCGGAAGGAGCAGGGTTTGGGGCTCATCTGCTTTTGTCTTTTTATTGGGGTCTCATAGATATCGTTTTTTAAGTAGAAAAATCTTCTGTTTTCTGGAAGGTATTCTGTGCCTCACATGCTCCCAACTCCAGCAAAACTATCTGTGTTGCTTCCGTCTATCTAGAGCCTTCGGAGAATCACCTCCCACCCCTGAGGCACCCTGCTGCCTACCTCACGCCACCCACGTCTAGATTAGCACTGCCCAACAGGAGGACAATGAGAGTTACATGTCTAATTTTAATTTTTTTGGTAGCCGCATTAAAAAAACATAAAAAGGAATTAAATTTTAATCTTATTTACCATATTTAAAATATTGTCATTTCAGCATGTAATCACTATAAAATAGATAAAATATTTTACATTCCTTTTTAAAAATTTTTTTTGGTACCAAGGCTTCAAAAGCCGAATTTCAAGAGGCCATCAATTAGCTACATGTGGCTACTGACTCCTGTATTGAATAGCACAGGTCTAGAGACTCTTAATGTAAGCTCTCAGGATGATGTGCGGAGTAGGGAATCTCTGTGGCCTGGTGCAGGTGATCTTCTCCACCAGCTTACACAGCCTTATACAGACCCTTGTGCTGTAACCCAGGACTTCTGCCCTAGGGTAGGGATAGAACCACACTTTATCTAATCCTGTCCCTGGTCCTGCCTCACCCCCTGTCACCTCCCCACAGATGATTTAGCAACCGTGATCCTGCAAGATGAAAAGACATCTTTCTGTGACAGACAACTCTCTCACACTTATTTGGTGATCATAGCTACAACTGAATTAGAGTAAGAAAATATTCTATAAATGTGACAGATTTAGCGGAAGGTAGTTCTGAGGTTTTTCAGAGTGGGAGGTCTTTTAAATGGATTTTTTCATTTTCAAGGGGGATGGTAACAAAGTACCTCATGGACTGGAAAGTGGAGAGTTTCAAGAGTGGTGGAAAAATGGGAAAATTACCAAAGAAAGCGGGAACAGAGGTCAGGGTGGGGACATTAAATGAGACAGGCTCTAAGCCAGGACGGATAAGCTGAAACAAACCAAAAACATAACATCTCACCTAAGTGATCCATCACATCTCGCATGACTGACCCCAGTCGTAACCATGGGAAGATACAAATAGAATCGACTGTTAGAATAGGAAGGGGCTTCTGACTGGGCTTATCTGTCCAGCTGAGAAAAAGGCCCAGAGAGCCCAGGCCCATCCCACGCTGAGGCGGAGTCGGGCTCCAAAGCCAGGTGCTCCCACCGTGAGCTGCAAGGGAGGCTCGGGGATCGATGCTGACGGGAGCCCCAGGGCCCGCCTACTCACATGAGACCTCCTGCAGCCCAGAGTGAGCACAGGGAACGACAGGCACATTCTCTTGTACGTGGGAGACAACAGCCAAGTCAAAATATTGAAGCAATGTGGATGCAAAATGGCATTAAAACGTGATTCTTCCAATAGTCCTTTCTGTATCCTTTTTTCCCTTTAGTAAAAAATATCCCAATTTGAATCAAACTGGATTTCTGATTAGTTATATGAGCATTTAGGTCAACTGACAAAATAAAAACTTTGATACATTGTATTTTCCAAAGACACATTCATTGGGATTTTACACAAATGGATATAAAAGATATTTACAGGAAAAGGGGCTCTCTTTCACATGGACACCCACACACAGTAAGAATTTCACAATTATACCGCCACGCCTCACACAGAGGACTCCTAACAGGCTGACAATCCATTGGCAAAATCCACACATTATTAGTCCAGTTTTCAGTTACAAATAATTTCATCTACAGACATGTGTAAAGTTAAGCAGAATGTTCCAGACATTTATTCCCGGGAAACCTGCCTTGTATATATTAAGGAATACATACAAATACATTTTTAAGCAAGAAAGAAACTCATTATTTGCTCCAGTTTTTCCCCAATTCTCCATCTGAAATAAAGAATAGCACATATACAAAACTTTGCCTTGTAGAAATAGCCCTTTGTTTTTAGAGGCAGGAAAAAAAGGCAGCCATGTTACACATTTTTTATAGTATGTTTAGGCATCAAAAGGGCTAAATTAATTTTTCTACTTAATTAAATTAAATAGTGTATAGCCTATAATTTTCTATACTGATTTTATACCATTTATTTTGCAAAGTTTCATTATAAAATTCTTATTTTGTTCAAAATACACCTGCTATCTTTGTCCATGGTTCAATCCAAATCCCTAATCACCCCCTATATCCCCCCAAAAAGGCCTTTGCTCTGTAATGGCACTGAAAACCGGTCATTTGTGATGTGTGTTTGGGGTCATTACTCTAGGACACTCACTCAGCTCTAAGGAGACTAGAGTCTGTAAGGCTGCTTAGCACGGGGGTTGCTACAGGAGTCAAGGACTCGCGTAAAGCAGGGGGGCTGCTTTAGGGTCTCCGAGTCAGCACTAAAATGTGACACCGGTGGGCAGGGTTCAGTAGAGCATTACTGCACCATGAGCTCCCTCCGTACGCCAATCTCATTGGTTCCCAAATGGAAGAAAACATCAGATGGGAGAAAGACGGGAGCACACTCTACTAGGGCCCACCGAGGCACACCACCTGCTGCCCTTCAAAGGTTCATCATATCACACGTCACCATGTCTTCGAAGCACAGTTGGAAAAAAAAGAGCAGGTGTCCGCACACCCTTGTGCAGACAAAGAAAGTGAGGCACAGGGAGGATGAGGGACCTGCCCAGTCAGGAGCAGCGCCCAGGTCTCCAGGCCACATCCTTGGGCTCCGCACCCCGTGTTCACAGGGCGTAACTGCTCTCCTGTGTGACAGGCCCCACCATAACCAGATAATTCACAACTCACCGGGTCATAATCCACTATCTGTGCTGTATTTCACTCAACTGGTTCTATTTAATTTCCCTACAGTTTCTAGAAAGATCCTTTCTACCAATCATATGCATGTTAAGCGGACAGCAACAACTCTTTTTTCATTTGATTGAATTATCTGAAATAGAAACCCCAGAGAGACTGGATTTTGGTACAGGGCAGTAGAAAAATTCCAGAGCACAATCATTCCATGTTTTCATCACATTTTGAAGTTCTGATCTAATCATAGCTTGCCACTAATACGCTGACATACCAAATGGAAGTGATGGCCTTTCATAATGGCATACCAAGTTTCTTTGCATCTGAAACCCTTAAAGTGCCCAAGATCACATTGTTGGCAGCAGGAGATACACAGTGAAGGCAAGTCAGGAGGTCATGAGCCAAGGAAGGACACAGATGAGACTATGGCGTCCAAAAATGCAGAAACGAAGACAAGCAAAGAACTAAGGGACAAGAAAATTACAGACAAATGTGGGGCACTTAACATGATTCCAAGGAGTTGTCATGTGTTATGGCAAGAAGTATCAGCTAAAAATACACATTATGCCTTAGGGGGAAGGGCTGCTGAGAAACAGAATTCATCTCCCTTTGGCCAAGAATAACGTGCTGCCGGCATCTGGCATCACACCACCAAACGTCACACAGCCAAGTGAATCCTTGACAGCACTTAGAGACACACCTTCGTCCTTTTTATGCCAAAAATGTTAAGTGGGGAACTAATCTGTTAAACTGTTCCTGAGTTATAGTTTCTTTAAAGAATTTACTTGCTTTGTTCCAGCTATGCTTAATGCCACCTGTTTTAAACTTTAAAAACCAACCCGTCACAGATTTCCTCGTTGACCGTAAAGGTCTCAACACTCTCGACTGCGTTCTCACACACATTCGCACGATTGTACTCTGAACTTGGATATGATTAAATTAAAAATATTTCCTTACAGATGCTCTAATCTATTATACATGGATAGGTCAGAAATTACTGTGTTTAATGAAAAAATTATGTCCCAAATAAAGCCCAGCCTAGTTACTGACATTAGATATGAAATCAAAGTGGGCTTTTCATTTGCTGTGGGTAAGGCCAGACCACTGACCCTCAAAGCAAAACAGGCTGGTGGCACATTCCTGCCTTTGAGGCGCCAGTGGCCGACCCCCCACCAGCAACAGGAATACTTTTCTCTTTTAATCATTCTCTCCTTGAACATTTATAAAAAGAAAAACTATCTACAATAGTGTCTCATCACTAATAGAAATCTCTTCCCAGTCTTATTTCAGAAGGCGTCAAATGATGTTCTTTAAATAAACTATAAATACCCCCATGTACTCCTTCATGTCTGGCTGTCCCAACTCCTTTTTTCCTTTTCTCCTTTTCTTTCGTTTTTTTATCTTTTTTTGGCAAATTAAAAAGGCGTATGGCTTCTCGCCGATGGGTACGTCTGAGGTTTAGCTTGGTATCCTGCGGTAAAAGTACATGTAGCCCAGGTCTTTAGGGGGTCTTTCTGAGGCACAAACTTTGTGGTCATTGTAGATCACCCACCTGAGAATAAAAGGCAGAAACATTTGATGGATTTAAGTTGATTACAGGAAATTTTGCAGAAAAAACTTACTGTGCCATACTTACAAGAATCAAGATGTTTTAACATAATCATACTCAAGTTTGTTGTATAAAAAGGAATAGAATGATAGTGGGAAATTACAACTGCTGTGGTATTCCCAAGCTCAATCAAAAAGTAGTTACCTCCTAATATTTTAAACACTTTACTCTCATAATTCTTTTTGCAAAAATCCATAAATAACCTCAAAAATTGAGTCAAAGGATTATGTACAACATTGTTTCAGGACTGGGTATAAAACTAACTAAAAATCAGAAGTAAACAGTCATGCAGTGAACTATTATACAACTATTTAAATGTCTCAAAGAATATTTGGCAATTTGAGAAAATAATCATAATATAATCAGAAGTGAAAAAAAGCAGGCCACAAAATTACATGGGTATATTAAGCTTATATGTAGTATGTGCATAGATAGACTTACACACCCTCTCCCAATGATAATAAAACAAAAAATATATATCCAAATATAGACAATTATTATCACTAGGATTCCAGGTGACATTTCTGTATGCTTTTTTATATTGTATCAATTCTTTACGATGAATTTTGTTGCTTTTAAATTGTAATTAAACTATTTCTCTTAAGTATTTTTAAAAGAACTATCAGGTTTGATAATAAAAAGAATTTACTATAAGTCAAGTCCCTGTGCTCAACTGTTTTATGAATTAAGTGAAGATAAGGCTAAAAGATATACCAAAAGGAACACAATCAAGGGCTGGGTGAGAATGGTCAACTCGTGCAATGTGAGGCGTGGGGTGAGAGGTCAACATCCTATGGGAGAGGCCAAGGTCACATGCTTCTGCAGCGTCCACGTGGTCCACGTGCTGCCCCAAGCAGGAGTGCCGGCCCACAGGCCGCCCGGTGGGGAACTCAAGGAGAGGAGGCCAGCAGGGTTCATGGGGATCTGGCCCCAGGAGAAGGTTCTGAAGGTGGGTGCCGCTTAGCCTCACTCCCAGTTCACCACACACCGAACCATTCCACTCGAGCCAAGAGGCCTACTGTGAGGCCGCAATAAAGCCAAACACTGATGGCTCAGGGTTGCGAGACAAAACACAGGATACCCCGCCAAACTGAATATCAGGTAAGCAACAAATAATATTTTAGTGTAAGTATGTCCCGTGCAATCTTTGAGACATAATTATACTAAAAAGTTATTCACTGTTTATCTGAAATTCAAATTCAGGTGTTCCTTTTGTTGGCTTAATCTGGCAATCCTCTGGAAGCTCCAAATATGCCATATATTCTACTGTAGGGTGCATCTTTTTGGAAAGCTACCTTGGTGTGATAGTATGATGGTCAAGAGTGGCTTTGAATACCAGCTCTGACACAGCTACTAACTAGCTAGGATCAAGCTATTTGGCCTTCTGAGGCTCAGTGTCACGGGGTGTAAAATGCCTTTAAGAGTATATCCTAGAAGGCCACTGTGAAAACCAAATGAAACAACACATGAGCGCCTACAATGCCTAGCACACAGGAGGTGCTCAATAAAACAAATAACATTTTACCTTCTAAAAAAGACTCACCTTCCTTCCTTTTTGATATGGCAAACGTAATGACCACTCATTGTAGATGTTCCCATGTGACTGATGAATGCAAATAATTCGTACACTATGGAAGAGGAAACAACTCAGTGACAAGGCAGCATTTCTAGAAATCAACAGCACTTCTGATCAGAATTTAAAGCCAATAATTGTGTAATCTAGCACCTGTTTACATTGAAACACAAAGTCTACTTACCTTGCTATACAGAGAACACACCCACCGAAAGCAACACCAAATTCAACCTTCAAATTCACAACCAAGTGGGACATAAGACAATCAATGTACAGCTGACATTAAATCCATATCTGAAAGGTTTTTTTAAATCCTACAGCCTAGCCTGATGGCAAGTTCGCGGGTTTCTCAGGATAGTCCCATCTCTCTTCCATTCAAGCACCATAAGCACAGAGAGGTAGTCTCATCTCTCTGGGCTCCCATCTTCACAAAGATGAGAAATCTACACACTTCATGAGGTTGTATGAGGCTTCAATGAGCAATTTGGAATAAAACGCCATACAAATGTCAGGATTGTGAGGAAGACAGCAGGTAACTGTTATCATTCATATAGGAGGGGACAATGCTTCAGAGTATGCTCCTTGTGATTTCTGACTTGTTCATGATTATAAACTATATGGACCAAAATTCAGGCTTCATGCTTTCTGAACAAGGAAACGGCCCCTTAGAGGGAAAGACCGATGTTTATTCTCTAACAAGTACCTCCCATCATAAAGCACAGGATTCTATATCGAATCCATGTTGAATGCATTGCAGCTCCCGCTCTCCTGGCCAAACCCCGGCCTACACAGTAAAGTGAGTTCCAGGGCCAAGTATCGGTCTGCTCTGCAAGCTGTTACAGATCACAGCAAAGTAGGTACAGAAACTGACTATTTACAAACTTTTATAATAATTTGAGAATAATATTCATGTCTGGTGAATTTAATAAGGAGAAATGGGCTTGCCTATTCATTTTTCTGGTACGCAATCTTCACTGCGTTTTTCAAAGTATTGGTTCTAGACAGACCTTTGCCATTTCCCCGCCCTCTCCCCTTTTCGCGTGCTTGCCTTTCAGCCACACTCACCCTTTACTGGGCTGTGAATCCCCCTCCTCATATTACACATCTTCAGCCCATCACACTCTGCTGCTCACCTTCCTCTTCCTCAGGTACTTGCTCCAGGTCACAACCCTCGCCTGGTTGCCCAGCTGCCTCACTGGCTGCTCCTCATCTCCCTGGCCTTTCCGTGTTGACGGCCTGGGGCTCGGGCCTCAGACCTCTTTTTGCACTATCCTGACTGACCTCATCCACTCTCATGGCATTAAATGGAATGATTTTCTTAATTTCCAGAATGTTCATTGTTAATGTATGTTATACAATTGTATTTCGTATATTGATCTTGTTCCTACGAACTTGCTGAACCCATTTATTAGATCCAATAGTTTTTTAGTGGATTCTTTAGCATTTTCTACATATAAAATTGTTATCTGCAAATAGAGGTAGTTTTATTTCTTCCTTGTTAATCGGGATGCTCTTTATTTTTTTTCCTGGCCTCACCGCCCTGGCTAGAACCTCCTGCTGCATAAATAGAAGTGGCAAGAGCAGACATCCTGTCTTGTTCCTGGTCCTAGGAGCAAAGCATTCAGTCTTTCACCATTAAATAGCATGTGAACTGTAGATGCTTTTTACCAAGTTGAGGAAGCTCCCTTTTGCTCCTAGTCTGTTGAACATTCTCTTCTCAGCCTTATTTGTCTCAGTCAATGGCGATCCCTTTTTTCCAGTATCTGAGGGCCGAATCTTGACTTTACTCTCACTCTTTACACACACACCCTCCATCAGCAATCCTGTCAGTGTTTCCTTCAAAATATTCCCAGAGTCCAGCCACTTCTTACCACCTCCACGAGCAACCCCTGACTCAAGATGCCATCATCTCTTGTCTCGATTTTTACATGAGCCTCCTAACTGGGGTCCCTGCTTCCTTCCTTGCCCCCTACCAACTGTTCTCAGTAGGGCCATCAGAGTAGTCTTGAAAGGGAAGTCAAATTGAGGTTATTACTGTCAAAAAAAAACCCTCCAGAGGTGTTCTACGTCCCAAAGTAAAATCCTGCCCTTACAGGAGGCCGTGACGGGTACCCCCCACACCTCCTTGCACTCTCTCACTCGCTCCGCCCCGCCTGCTCTGGCGCCCTGGCTGCTCCTCGAGCACCCGCCAGCATGCTCTGTCCCTCCAGCCTCTACACCTACTGTTCCCTCTCTCTGAAACTCTTCTTTCAGCTGTCACATGACTCACCCCTCACTTCTTCAAGGTCTCAGATCAAATGTCACATCAGAAAGGCCTTCCTGAGCCAACTCACAAGAGAGTAACCCTCCCTTCCACTCCCACCCGGAGCCTGCCTCACTGTTGTCCATATAACATGAACTAACGCCTGCCATGTCACACAGTTACATGCGCATTCATTTACTGCCTACCTCCTTTTATCCCAGGCTAGAATATATCTCCATGATGACAAGAAGTATGTCTGTTTTGTTCACTGAAATATTCTAGGCACAGAGAACAGTGCTCAGCATGCAGAAGGCACTCAATAAGTATTTGCTGAATGAATAAACACATGAGTGAATCAAGGAATGACTCCCTTCACTCTATTCTCTTGTTTTTTATATCATCTTCTAGTGTATTTTTATAAACTACCTACCAAAGTATAAATTGGTAAAATAATTACTTAAAAGAGAAATGAATCAGAGGAGAATGCCCTTCCTACCATTAACTAGCTATCACATCAACTAATAACCAAAAATATCCCAGGTTTGAAACGAGAAACCAGGCAAAGACAGTTGTGAATGACAATCATTTGGCCTGGCACATATTTCCTGAAACAGCGAGTAAAGGACCCTACCCTGCTCTGCCCTCCCTTTCACCCCTCCCCCCCCCCCCAGGTGCTAAAGAGCTCACCCCACCCCGGTAAGCAAGAGGGCGCGGGCTCAGACCTTCTCATGTTTCTTGACCCTGGTTGATTTTTAAAGTTCTTTTTGAATAATTCTATATCAAATTCCAAATCTTCAGTTTGAGAAATACAATGCTGGTCTCCCCAAATGCAGCTGCTGCCTTAGAATTTTCATGAAATAAAGAAAGGACACAAAAACTAACAAGCCAAGTAGAACCAGAGGCATGGAAACAAGGAACAGACTGACAGAGGCCGGAGGGGCACGAGGAGGGGGAGCAGGGTGGAAAGCAGGGGAAGGGACTAGTCAAGGAACATGTATGAATGACGCACAGACATGGACAACTGGGTGAGGAATGACTGTGGCGGGGGGCAGGGGCTGGGCAGAGGAGGGCAAAGGGGGAAAAATTGGGACAACTGTAATGGAAAAGCAATAAAATATTTAATAAAAAAATTTATCCCTAAAGGAAAATAAAAAAAGGAAAGGACACGATAACCCTACCAAGCCCCACACCACCCACACCAAGGAACTGTCCTTCAAAACAATGACTTAAATAATTGATCAGAGTATTTAAATGGTACTTCCCACCACAAGCCAAGGTCACATCAATGAAAAATTGCTCAGACACCAACACAGCCAATGGGTTGACAAAACAAACAGACACAGAGTAAAAGATAAATCCACACAATCAATACACCCAACACGTCCTTAAGCCCCCAAAGCATTCTCCTCCTCTTTGGTTAAAACCAATTCACGTGTAGGTTCAGAATCATAAAAATAAATTAAAGAAAAAAGATTAGCATAAATCATAGTCCTACAATTAAAATTAACCATGTTTATCATTCTAAACACCCATCCCATGCATTATTCAAGACCTCCTGCTAGGAAAAAACAGCAAAAAAGAGAATCACTCTCAACATATTTGCAAAAACTCAACAGGTAAAAAAGAAATCTCAATTAATATTTGTTTCCAAAGAGAAAGTCAAGGTAAATAAACCAAGGAGGGAAGCTCCTCCTGATTCTTTTCCAAGTTCCCAGGGGACCCCTTCTAAAAAATGGCATTATGACACACACTTCCCCCAAAATGTACACACCCCTTTTTTGTGTGGATAGAAAAAGCAGTGTAAAGCAAAGTAATCATTTTTAAAATGTTGGCTTTCAACAGAGAAACTTTCAAAGTACTGGAAATGGTGAACACAACTGTCCAAACCACTGTGTCCAACATCTGGTGACTAGTGTCCCTCTAACGAACCAGAATTAAACAGTATCTGAAACTAGCATCCTTCTTCCTTATTTTCCTCTCCCAACAAAATGTGTCCTTTTTTAACTTAAGAAAATGTTCCCAACCTTTCTAATATGAAGAATTTTTAATAGCAAAATTTTACCACCATCACCCCTACCCAAAGTAAAAGCATTTATTCTTTGAAAAAGCACTGTCCAAAAAAAAAGTATATGAAACTTGGAAAGTAGAAGAGGCAGCAGCAGGCCCACTCGTGTGAGAGCGAGGGGTGGCTTCCCCGGGGTTAGCTTGGGTAGGGCCCAGCACACCGCAGTGACCCACAGGGCAAATCCGGCCCACAGCCTATTTGTGTACTGCCAAGGAGAGAGGGAAGAAGGAGGGGAATGAAACTATGCGATGCCATGCGTAGGGCCCACAAAGCCTGAAACATGTATTTACTATCTGGTAAAAGAAAAGTGTTGCCGGCCCTCGGCTACTGGGAAGGACTTAGTTCATCTCACTGCTTACTGCTGATTAAAGGTCCCAGACTGAGTGAACTTACCTGACTGCTATGGTAGATTTTTGTCCGGTAAAGATACAAAAAAATTCCTTTCCAGTGGAACATAGAACCTCAAGGATTTATGGTCCCGGTAGACACTCGCTTTATATCTAACTCAGCAATGAAACTCTCTTTAAATATCCTTAGCTTTTCAGATGCTTTTGATTCAGTAATAACACTAAACAGCTTCTCTCATTAGTTATGAGTCAAAGAAAATTTGGTATGTGTTCAGTTTATATGTACTTGAGAGTCATGACTTTACCTTATTGAAAATCATAGTTCAACAACACATAATGCACAAAAGCAACTCGAGATTCCGGAGTGCAATTAAATTAGTTTATATTTTATAAACCATTGT